GTTTATTTTCATTTTTTTTATTTTTTTTCTGTCTATGATATTTTATTTTGTTCTTTTGTAGCTTTATATTATTTGAAGTTAGCTTATTTTTTTTAATTTGTAAATGTGGTGTGAATGTGCTCTCAGAACTCTATTGTAAATGTCCTTTATTGAGACAGATTGTAATATTTATCAATAAAACATTATAAAAAAAAAAAAAAAAAAAAATTGACAATCACTACTACAAAAATGTGAGTTTGCACAGAATTAAAGTCTTTGCAACATCATTTAACAAAGCTAATTTAGTGGTTCTATATAAAAATCTCTATCTAAGTATAACCAAATGGACTTTGGAGCTTTTATCTCTTATTGTTTTCCTTTTCAATGATAAATCAAAACTGGTCCGAATAATTAATGATCCGGAACTATTTCAAGAAACAATCTCACCTGAAAGTACATCTTGATTGGTTGTTACCTGATTGACGTCTTCAACTTCAGGTATCCCATCAGGTAGCCTTGACGACCAAAGGGCGCCTGTTTTAACCTCCCCTCTTCCACTCTTCTATCCTCCTACTTACAATTAGACTTTTCCCATTGCAAGTCTCTAGTTTCAATAATGCGCTATATTAATTCATGAAAGTTTAGGGAAAATTCAATGAACGGAATTGTGTAGCTTACTGCTCAGGAGTATCACAAATTGCTATTACAGTAGTAAATAGAAGTTGTGGCAAGATGGTAAAACAAAACAAGTAAAAAATTATAGGTTTTAGAGAGCAAACGCATTTTCTGTGTTAGAAAATATATACTAAAAGTATTCAGAGTGGAGAGAAAAGCGGTCAAAACTCACTCATTCATAATATATTGATGTCATAATCGAGCCTTGGGTGTTCCGGAATTACTGGGTGAAAGCCCTGATCCAAACCTACAACTTAGGTCGAAACGTAAGCTATCCATTCAAGCTAAACATTACACCACCATATTGCGTATGTGGCTGTTGATCGCACCCACTAACTAACAGCTCCTTCAACTACAACTACTGCCAATTATTTCCGTATCATCAAGAACTTATATTCCGGACGTTCTCGGTAATCCAAACCTTTAGTAATACGAACAAGAGTTCTTTTTCTTAATCAATATTAATGGAATTGTTTCGTATGGTATTGTCAAAATCGTATTGTGGTGTTTGTAAACAGAAAATATTAAAACTACGCTGTTATCCAGAAATTGATACATCTCTTTATATGTGGTTTTTGGAAAAGATATCACGTAGGTGTCTAATTTTCGTGGATATATTAGCTGAATTTTTTTTTAAAGAATAATGACAAAGCAATTTTAATGCAATAAATATTAGCTTGATAATATCAAAAGTATTTATGGACTACTTGTTTTATATTAATTTTTATTTCACTGGAAAATTTCTTTACACCTATTTTATTTTTCATTATCGACAGGTCATAGAAACTCCATAAAGGCTTAGTATTTTTAAAGAATTTGCCAGATCAGGCGTTTTCTTCAGGAACAAAATTAGAGATTCAACGTACATTATAAGATAATTTTCAAAAATTAATATTTTGTTTGCATTGTGTTTATGAAAATGAAATGAAATGAAATTAATTTTTTTTATTATCCTGGGAGTGTTGTCCCTTTAGGACAAATTACAGATACAAAATAAATACCTGTGTGGCCATACATAAAATTAATTATTTACAATTATTATTAAGATTAAGATTTTGGAAAAAAAATAAAAGAAAAAATAGAACTATTACACTAAAAACATACTGCTACGTATAATACAAAGGTGGGAAAATACAATAGCATAAGTAAAGAAAATCATTTCTGGGGGAACTTTAAAAGTTCTCTTATTTACATTTCATGATCAATTGGGTTGGGAAAGGAGTAGGTGGTTAAAAAGGAGAGATTTAAATGAGGAAACTGATTTTACATGTCTGATATCGGGAGGGATGGCATTCCAGATGGAGACGGCTTGAATTATAAAGGATTCGTCAAACGCTGCAGTTCGGTGGGGAGGTGGATAGAGGTCGGAGGTACGAGATCTAGTGAGACGGGATTGAATGGAATATTTGAATTGTAGGCTGTGAAAAATATAGGAAGGCCGCTGAGTTCTGATGACTTGGTTTAGAAAGGTAGCAAGGAAGTACAGACGGCGGTTGGATGGATAGAGCCACTTCAAATTGGTGTAATTCTGGGTTATATGCGTATCTCTTGAGATTCCCTAAACAAAACGTATTGCGCGTGAGTGATAATGCGTATTTTTTCGTAACCTTGTCCAATTTTACCATAATTTTAAATTTAAAATTTGATAATCCGAACACATAGACGGCAGCGTGCAATACCGTCCTGTAATTTGACTAAGAATTATTTCATTAAAGATTTCAAAATGGATATTTAGATTTGAAATATGACGATCTTGCTTATGTTTACTGCTCTGGACGTAACTTAAATTCATCTTTATTTAAATATGAGCAATTTTGTATAAATACGTAAAATAGCGCAACCAATTATACTTGAAAATCGCTTTAATTTTTTTTTTTTTTTATTAAACATTTCCTAATTAGTTTGTTGATGAGGTATTTCCATGTTGAGCTGAGAATAGTAGACAAGAAGGAAACTGCAATTACAAGGTCATGAATGACGTACTGGAAATCCCGGCTGTTGGCTAACACCTAGTGGTACTCCTTGACTATATTTAGTTCCAATAGGAGCGTTCAAGCTTGGTTTAATAAGTTTTCTATACAAATGAAAACTAAATAATCTGTAAAAGTAAAATTTATGTTATCGAACTTGTGATATAGCTGTTAGGTTGATAATTAAAATGAAATATTCCATTGGATATTTTATTTAACTTGATATAACATCATAAACATTTCATATCATTCATCATATGTGTAAAGAGTTTGTTTGAAACTGATAATTTCAAAAACCTCTAGCTCGATTTAATACACAAATGTCACTCCTACTTGATGGATAGCTCACGGTCATATTATCACACTTGCTGAACTATCGAAGATAGTTTAATGCTTCTGTCTTTTGGCAGGTTAGCTTAGGTTATATTTTCAACACAAACAATACAACTAATCAGGATAAATATATACAATTTAATTATTAATGAAAACAAATGTAAACAATTTAACTATATACATAAAGTTTTAAATGAAGCGTCTCTTGGAAATCATTTTGCAGTAGGATTCATACACAACTGATTTAGTAAAATGTAATTTATTATATGGTTATGATTTATTTATATGTTTATATTATATTATTTATATGATTGTAAAATTACAATTGGTGGTATTACTAATGAGCGGACTAAGATTAGATACTTTGTTAGAATTTTAGTAACAATTATTATTATTAGACATTTGTGAACTTCTTCTATTTTAACTAAAATCAATAAAAATACTTATTATGTTTATCATATTTCTGAAATCTTACTATTTTTTTTTTTTTGCATTACTTTTTAACTGGTCTTTGTGTACTGTTTTAACCTCATTTTTGTAGCTATTATTTTTATTGAATTTTCCCAACTTCACAATTACTGTTATTAAAAGTTGTGCTTAATAATCGAAACAATATAGAGTCGTGATTATCGTTGGTCGGAACATGAAAATTCTTAAATTTGACATAACCTTAACATTAATTAATAATCTGAAATACCGCTTCAAAATAAGTTGGCTTCCAGAATGCGAACTCATGCGGCAATTAGTTGAAACTATAGTAATATTTAATTTTTTTTTTTTAATCTCGGATACTCCTTAATGATTTTTTACAAATACGTTCATATATTACTAGATAATCTTGCTTTACCGTAATATATGTATATATTCGTAATAATTTTGGTAGTAATAGAAATTAGTGGGAAAAATAAAATGTTAGTTTCAATAACAGTCATTTAGTGTCGCATAAATTCGCTTTCGATATTCCAACTAATGTTGGTCGAGATATAGTTCAGCGAGTTATGATAAGAAATATGAAATTGTCTTGAACATTTAGCCTAGCCCGTCTAAAGATAAACGCAACAAGATGGCTTAGACATTACTCCAACAGTGATCTTGTGTCCAGCATTCATATTGAAGTGAAAATTGCGGAATAGAAGGGTAAATTCACAATTTTCTTTTAATGAACTCAAGATTTTATTAGAATGCCAAAGCTGGAAGATAGGATTAAATCTTTTGCACTAGCGATATGCATATTCAGTACGCAATGGAATTTTTGTTTTAAAAATACAAATCATCAAATATGCAATCTGCTCTTCAATGCGCAAGGAGCTCTTTCGCATTTTAGTATTTGCTGACAAAAAAAAAAAAAAACCTCGTGAATATCAAACACGTATATGTTGAGAGATTACTGAATTTCCGAAAACAGTTTCTTTCAGAGATTTTATTCTCATACGAATAATTTTATTCCTTGTAATATAGATATTTTTTATTAAATGAAAATGGTGAGGAAGCTGTTCGGGAATTTGTTAACCGTGAATGTTTGATTTTTTTACATTTAAATACAAAGTGAAATGTATTATTTTAATTCTAGGCAAAACAGCTGTTCTAAAAGATATTTAAAAACAGCTGTTTTAAAAGATAAAAAGAAACATATGTTACTTAAGTATTAGTGTTAGTTAGAAAGAATTGTGTTCTTAAAAAACTCTGATTTGAAAAATATAAGTTTGTGTTTGTTTTTGTTTTAAAGTGCATTCAATCACTACTTTATTTACAAGTTCCCATTGTTGTTCATTTTGTATAACGAAAAAGGAGCTATACTAACCTTTCTTGACAGACTTTTTTTAGGGTTTGTTTCTTTTTTTTTTGTATTCAGTTAATCGTCAATACTTTGCCATGCTTATTAAGCAGACATATAAAATCTAGAGTAAGCGTATAATAAAATTATATCTGATCGCTGTAGGAAATTAAATTAACACGACGTATCATAGTTGGAAGGGAAAATAGAATTTAATAGATTGGCTATTGTAACCGGAGAAGGGAGTTTTATCGATTACTCAACACAAGATGGCCGCCGATACACTGCCCCTAGAATGTATACCTCTAGGAGTACAGATGTTAGTTCCGGCGTAAACAGCAGTAAACTATCGGACCATGTGACCGTTTAAAACAGGAAAACAAGTAGAGGACGCATGCTACTCGCTGTTCAGTTGTTCAGTTAAATTATTTCAATTTAAACTAGAATTTAATTAAATTATTCTCGGAACATTTATCGTAAAATTCTACTTCGATTTTGTAGTTCTCTCACTTATTGAGGCCAGAATATAGAAGCCACGAGTTTTTAAGAACTTTTTAAAATCGCATTATTAACAACCAAGCATTTTAAAATATCCTCACAAGTTACTTTCTGTATTATTTGAGGTTCCCCTGGAATCTCTGGGATATTCTACTTGTATTTATAATCTAATATAGGTTTAATAATTCTACACTATATGTAATGCAGTAGAAGTCCAAATCGTATCAGAAACCATTTAATAGTGCCGGCCTTCTCAATTACCCAACTCAAAAAAAAAAAAAAATTAATTAATTTCTTAAACTGTTTTATTTAAAGTAATGTTTCAATTGTATTTAATCCAATATGTCTCCAATTCACGTTTTTAATAGGCTAAAGGCTTTAACGCTTACTTCGAATTCTCTTGAAAACCCTACAGCAGATGGATGTGGCACAAACAAGAAACAAAAAACTAGTGAAGCGAGACTAGTGAAAAAAACGATTCAGACATTTAATCTAGTAATCTATACGGAGTTGAGCGTTGTACCAGGAATGGTAAAAAAAAATCGATTTATTAAATTAAAATTAAGGCAAAATACTTGACTATCTTAGTTACTATATGTTAATAATTGGTATGACCAATATACTTTTGCATTTAACTCATCTAATTTTTCATCCGGACTTAGATAGGTTTCTCCTATTTAAAAATTACAGTAATATTTCTATAGTAATAAGCTAATAAGTAACTGCAAGACTGTTGCGAGACTCTTGCTCAAGATCAAGATTGAATTTGCAAGACCAAGACTCGTCTCGGTCTCGCATTTGGGCAACACTACTCGTATCCAATCCTTGCAATCCTAATGTTCCATATGCTTTCAATGTGACCCAAACCAGATACCTATCCTTCCGTAATAAACTTCATAACCATCCGAATCCTGTCGTTTCTAACCTTGCTTCCTCTTCTATCCCTGATAATCCTCCGAGGCGTCCGAAAAGAAGATGGCCTCCTGATCTCCTAATTTAGAAATTTTATTAGAGCGTTACCAATGGGTGGTTTATCAACAAATGTTCTCATGTCATTGTATTATTATTTATCACATTTACTAAATTTATATTTGCTTTATACAGTTGTAAATTTCATAAATAAAAGGAAAATCCAGTTCTGTTGTATATCGTAAGTTGCATTAAGTGGTGGTAAAATGTTCGGTTTTTTTAATTGTTCGGGATTTGACTGAGATATAAAGTCCTTGTTTTTGAACCTCCGGGTCACTTTCCATATATCAAAAACTGCTATATTTTCGATTGGTTTTTTCGAGTTTCGTCAATTTTGATCATGAAGGAACATGTTTCCGACAAAAATCGTTTTTCACATTTTTAAACTAGATCAAATTTAAGACAATAATAAACTCGGCAAACCTAATAGATTTCGATCTAGTTCTTTTCAAAATTTGGCATTTTTTCAAACTTGAGAATTTTGAAGCTAATAATAATTTTCATGTTTTGTCATACGCAGTTGTTTTTATATCTTCAATAACCTGTCTGATAACGAGTCAGCGAAATAAATTTATTCAATTTAACATTTTGAAGGGTTGAAAGAGGGGAAAGGTTTGGTGGGATAGTTCACTGTTCACAACCAGACGACCGAATTTGAAATACAAAAGTTATTTAAAAAACATTTGTTAAATTTTGAAAAAAAACTGTTCGAAATCCATTAGTATATTCTGATTTCAGATTGTAGCAAATTTAATATAGTTTAAAAATGTATAGTACGTTTTTTTTGTCGGAAACGTGCTCTTTCCTAGTTAGAATGGGGGGAAATAGATGAAAGTGGCAACAATTAGCAGTTTTGAAGATATTCAGAGGTGATCTGGGGGGAGGGGGGGAGGGGGAGAGGCCGAGGTTGAAAACTTGGATTTTTCATCTCAGGCACATCCCATACATGAAAAAATTAACAATCTTCTATCACCCCTTGATGCAATTTCCATGATTAGTGTTGCCCAAAATCGGTCTTGCAAAGTGCCAAGACCAAGGCCACCTAACTGTTGCAAGACCAAGACCAGGGCTGGTAAAATCAAATCGATTTTTTAAATAAAAATTAAGGCAAGATAGTTACTAATACTTGATAATCTTAGTTAATATATGTTAATAATCGGTATAACCAATATAATTTTCCATTTAACTCCTCTAATTTTTCATTTGGGCTTACTTAGGTTTCTCACATCTAAAAAATGACTAATCTCACATCTATAATAATAAGCTAATATGTAACTGCAAGACTGTTGCGAGACTCTTGCGCAATACCAAGACCATAAACAAAACTGATTTTGCAAGACCAAGAATCGTCTCGGTCTCGCATTTGGGCAACACTATCCATGATAGGTTTAAAGGACTAATTCGTGTCTCTCATACATTTTACAATGTCTGAACGTATCTTAAGAACTTCATTACCGCTATAGCAACAATGACAGTACTTTTTGAGGTGTCCAAGGATCCCTGGGAAACTCCCCCAATGCATACTTTTAGTTTGATTAATATTTTTGTATATGTTTAATTATTATATTTTTCTTGCCTTGTATGATAATAATGAAAAATAATGTTTTCAATAGGTGAGGTTCACGGGATTTCGGGACCGTCCAACGGAGGAGAGACAAATCAGGTTCCAGAACGGCTGCCGGGAGGGACACACCGAAGTGGTAAGAACATCCTTCCTAACCTCTTGCAACCATATTGTTATAAACATTTTACCATCAATGTCTTCTGCTTTAGGCGTTCGTCGCCACAGGGACTAACATGCAACTAGTCTTCAGCCCGAGCACCAATGGATACCTCCAGGGCAACAGAGACTGTGATTTCGAGAAGGAACATGGCAAGGTATGATGTTGTCCAATCTTCTATATAACCCTTATATTATAATACTTACAATTAAACCTGTTTAGGTTATCTGTGGTTATAAATTTTTTCTTTAAAGTTTTTTGTAATTGAGAGCCGCGGCTAGGGGGCGCTACGGATTTTTGATAAGCATTAAAGCCAATTAACAAACAATCCGATTTAAATTTCAATACAAAATTTTAAAAGACAATTATTTTTTAATTAAAAAATTTTTTTTTTATTCCTCCCACAATCTGTGCGCCCCACGTGGAAACTATAAAAACTAAACACAACAGCATTGATGAAAGCCGATAAAAAACGGGCTAGAAATTAATACAGATATAAATCGATGGTTAGCTGCTGAATTGAGGGCGATTTTGGTTATATATATATATTGAACAGAATACGTTTAAACACATAGAGCGATTTAAGTATTAAGATCGAGGATAATTAGAAAAAATAGATTAAAGAGCAGTCTAGGCTAAATACTGGAAATGGTAGTTATTGGTTGTAAAATTACTTAACTCCCATCTTCTATCTCGAAATTTAAAAATTGACAAAACGATGATACTTTTTACGGTTCTTTACAAAGCGAAATGTAGTCCCTTATTTTAAGGAATGAACAACGCCTTAGTGTTTTGAAAATTAACTATTGCTTAAAATTAGGAAGAATTGGCCGCAGAATTTCGACCGTTATATCATGCCGAATGATGTGATTTGTACCCGATGAATATAATTAAGATGATAGATTTACGACAATCTAATTCACTACCTACATAAAGGTTAATGTGCGCGAATCCCACTGCTGAGTTTTCTAGCGATATGCCGAAGCAAAGATGGGAGGATTGTGTTAAGGCGGATGTTACGGGGTAAGGTTAGGAAGGTGGCCGGTGGATGGAAGTATGTAGATAGCGATTGGTAGCAAGGGTATCGATTGTTCAGTATAGCTATGCTTTTGTTATTATTATTCCTATTTTTCTATTTAAACATGGAGTAACAGACTATTAGCAAATTTAAGATAGAATTGGGGGAGCAGGGAAATTCCAGTAAATTCTCGACACGGGCGCCGAAAACGTACGCGACGGCCCTGTTGCAATGATACATATATTTTTGAGGTTTAAGAGTATAATATGCCACTAAAGAGAGGAAGATGCATACTGAAAAAAGTTTGAACCTGGGAGTTATAACATTCGGCCCAAGGACGCCTATTATTTGGCTACTTAAGCTAATACACGGAAATTAACAAAATAAAATGCGTTAAGGAACCGGAACTCGAAATAAGTACGGATAAGACCAAATATGGTAAACCCTCGTTGAAACAAACTCACAAGGAACAGAAATTCATTAATTAGTTATATCCAAAAATAAGCAGTTTCAAAGGATAGACAATTTTTAATAAAAATCCAATATGTAAAACACTTGGAGACGGGATGGCCGAATGGGCTAACGCGTGTGCACAGCGACCAGATAACCAAAGTTATGAGATTAAAAAAAAGTACGAGTGCTCCGGAGGGAATTTTAGGGAAGACAAAAAAAAAAATTATAAAAATATGTATAACACATAGTTCTTCGCGAATTCTCATGCGATCAGAGTGACGAAAGATTATTTGTAACATGCATTTCTAGAGTTAGTTGTAATGAAGATATTTCTCAATCGGTGTCAACAAGTAGTTTTGCAGTTCGTATTAACGGAACGAGTGCTATCGGCAACGATGGTGCTATGAGAAAATCAATGCATCTTTCTAGGAGAATCGATTCTGTTTCGCATTAACAAGCTAGGTTAGTTCATTGTTTACTGCGAAAACTGCAATTTGGTGATATATCGTATATCGAAATGTATGAAACTGAAGAATAAATTAATAGTAGATTAAATAACATAAACTGCAACCGATTAATATAATTAAATGGGCCTGTGAAATAGTTCAGCATTTTAATAAATATGTATTATTTACTGTCCTGATTATTATTTGTTACTAGTCACAATTTTACTATGTATACATTATAGAATTATCCGGACCATATCTAGCGTTGCCCAAATGCGAGACCAAGAAGAAGAAGAAAAGAAGAGTCTTGGTCTTGCTTACTTAGTCTTGGTGTTGGTGTTACCCTTGCGCAATAGTCTCGCAACAGTATTGCATTTATCTATCAGCTTATTACTATAGAGTTATTACTGTAGTTTTTTTTAGATAGGAGAACCCTAACTAAGCCCGAATGAATAATTAGGAATGCTAAAAGCAAAACTATATTGGTTAAACCAATTATTTACATATATTAACTGAAATTGTCAAGTATTAGTAACTATTTTGCCTTAATTTTTATTTAAAAAGTCAATTTTTTTACCAATCTTGGTCGTTGTCTTGCAACAGTTAGGAGGTCTTGGTCCGATTTTCGGCAAAACTAACCATATCAGTATCCGAATTAGAGCTAACACTAATGTTGATAATCGTCCCTCTACAATAATTTACGTAATTCTCAGTTCTCCGTTAAATAATAAATTAAATATATATTGATGTGTACAAGAATATACATTAAATAGATTAACCGAATAAGATTATATTTATCTGGGATGGATATATAACGGCCAGGTGCATGTGAAACAGTGTATCCTGCCTTCCCTACTATGTAGTAACAAAGCCTGTTATGTAAATGTAACACAGGCCGCCGCCCTCCTAATATAACGGATTAGCTTTACAAAATGGCGAGGGGTGAGCTGTCAAAATGGCGACGACAGATCAATAGCGGAGTTTATATCGCCCCTTCCTCCATCTGCTCTCATGGGACAATGGCGAGCCCCTTAGGGAACTGCTTGACAAAAAGTATAGTATTAGCCCCCTCAATAGGGAGTGTCACTGTAAACAGATACTCGGATCATTATCTCATTGTAGCTGTCGTCAAAACATCTTAGGCACTTCCTCGACCTCTTCACTCCTCCAAAGAGCTACCTACCTACCTCTTTGGATTTAAAGAGGCAAGCTACTCTAGTGGGGATAATAACTATTATTATCGATAGGGCTGTTTGTATATAAGAAGATTTCTATGCCTCGGGCATAAGTTCAGTCTATAGGATTAGGGGATCATTTCTCATTCAAGGATTATTCAAACATTGGATCCAATATCATATTAAAAAAATTTTACCTAACAGCCTAGTTAAATAACTAAAATTTTAGTTAAACAGAGATTATAATATTTAATTATTTAAATCTATTATCAAACTTAAAATAATTTAACTAAGGTTATTAAAGGTTATTACCATGTTTTTTCAACTCGTAAACACAGCTTGTGATATTTTCAGTAACATGACCTGACGTCTTTTCCAACGAAAGTACGATAACATAAGTTTTAAACTATTACAGAACAATAATTCGGTCCATTCTATATTTTTAATTTTTTAACCTTAAAAATAATTTTAAAGTATCAATGGAAACAATTAGTTAATGCCATTAAATTATTGGTTATTAGTTTTAACTTTCCACTACTTTTGAAGAGTTTATACGTTAGATATATTTTATTTAAACTCCTCAGTTTTCTAACAGTATATGTATAATTACTGCTTTCATTTCCGATACTTTTTTTTTAACATGGGAAAAAAGTTTCTCGTTCGTTAATTCCTTCGTAGTTCGTACGAGCCTTTCAGTTGACAGAACGACTAACTCCAATTTCAACATTTTTTATTATTATTTTCAGTGATATTTCTTGTGAGAAAATTTATAAATTTATTCACAGTTCTATATTTCAGCATTGCAATCACCTTTTCTGGAATCAACTTTCTGTGTGTACACATAATATAAATTTTCCAACTAGATATATCACTAAAATGATTTTACTCAAAAGTGTTGAAATTGGAGTTACTCATTCTGTCAATGGAAAGCCTCATATATAGCCTTTTCTTATTGACAATAAAAATGAGAGACTGTTAATTATTTCAAATAAACCAAATGAAAGATTAATTAAAGTAAGTCAATTAAGCACTGTCAGGTTATTCAAATGAGGATACGTAGAACATACGTAGAAAAGAAAACAACATTAAATTGAACAAATGTATAAATAATTTGATCAAAATCTTTTATAATAGTGTCTTTTTCGTTAAAATTGTAAAAAAGTGAAAAATCAATTATATAAACTCGAAAACATAAATTTTATATTTTGTCTGATGGTGTAGTACTCCTTTTAACTTTGGCAAACAAGGTTTTTTAGCATTTACGTCGTGTGAAGTTTCATATTGGCTTGAAACAAATAATCTTTAGTTTTACGCATTTGAGTTCTCTCTTTCAATGGGCATTTGAAAAGGCACCTCTTTGAGCTGGCAGACAAGTAAAAAATTGGAAGTTGAAGAAAGACATTAAACGGTGTATGAATACAAATCTTCCTTCAAACAAGTCATTAAATTTCGAACTGAATCTAAGATTATGCGAGTAACGATTTCCTGATTGTCAAAACTCGATACAAGCCTATTAGCCCAGTAACCTAGTACATCGTAAGTTGCATTGAATGGAAATTGAAGGTTTCTTTTTATTTTAAGTTTTCGACCTCGGTGCCACCTCCGGATCACTTTTGAATAATCCAAAAATCCTATATTTTCGTGTTTTCCAATTTTACTCATGAAGGAGCATGTTGTCTACAAAAAGTAAACATTTTTAAACTAGATTAAATATGCTACAATTTAACACCAGAACAGGCTCAGTAAATCAAATTTTAGAATTTTTTATTTTCCATTTAAATTATTTTTCATATTTGATCATATACAATTGTCTTTTATCTTCAATAATCTGCCTGATATGAGTAAGCGTAGTAAATATTTATTAATTTTTATATTTTGAAGGAGGGGTGATGAAGGGAGAGGGGGGAGGAGGAAAGATTTGGTGGAAGAGAATAGTCCGTGGGCCATTCTCGGTCTCGCATTTGGGCAACACTAACTACCATGTATTTAGATGTATCTTCATTTATTTGTAGTTTAATTTGCTCTTATTCTAGTAATATAATATAAGTAATAGATAGATGATAGTAATATAAGTAATAGATATTTATAGTTGATTCGGGTCAGTAATCTTATACAATAAATTTTCATTTTTACAAAAACGTTAAGACATGTAAAATATATTTAATTTATTATAAGAAAAAAAATAAGAACTATAATGGTTGGTCTTACCAGGATTATTGTATTCTATATTAATTGAGTAGTAATCCTGCAATCCCCGACATAGTATAATAAATTTCGTTTTTCAAATATATTGCCTAAATTGAAAGTTTCCCAGGGTTTTCGCCGTTTTTATGCCTTTTCGGACCACTCTGCAGGACTACGTTACCTCCAAACGTAGCCAAATCGGCTCTTGGAGTCTGCGGCTGACAGAAAAGGAAAAACTATTTCATGTGGATACGGGCGGATCTGGGGGGGGAGGGAGGCGGGAGGGGCTTTCGGGCTGAAGTCCCTCTCCCTCCCCAAAATGACAAAATATAACCATGTTTTATGTAAAAATATATTAAAAAAATATCTCTTAAAGTATTATTGCTCGTGTAATTACATTTAAAAGGACTTAAGGAATCATTTAAACACCATTTCATATAGGTAGTTCATTTCTTTCTTCTTTTTTTTTTCAAATTAACTCTCGTTATATATATGAAAAAAAATCTTTCGGGCTGAAGCTCCCCCCCCCCAAAATTAAATCCTAGATCCACTAGTGCATTGATAGTCAAACCTTGGAAGAGACCTTATATTGTTTTTACTTTCCTACCTATACTAGGTAAGGTAAGTATTGCAATCGTGTCAAATTTCCGATATGCGGTTTTCGACGGAAATATACGTTTCAGAGCCCCCTGAGTCCGAAAAACACATTTTTAGCCATTGGTCTGTTTGTCTGTCTGTGTCAAGATTTTCTCGGGAACTACTAAACCGATTTTGTTGCTTCTTTTTTTATTTTGTAGGGTTTTGGCTAGTGATGCCTGTGACAGAAATTCGGTGCTCCACGCGCAATAGCTTGCGCGCAATAAATGAATAACATGTTTTTCTATAGACTGTGTCACGAAAACGGCTCTATCGATTTTGATGAAACTTTCATGTAATGTTCTAATCATTGTCCTTTCAATTTTTGTATATAGACTAAATTCCCGAAAAAAATCAGGAAAAAAGTTATTAAGAAAAGAAAAATGTTATGGGGCTAACTCCCTAAGCATATATTATATACTTATATATCTATATATATATATATATATATATATATATATATATATATATATATATATATATATATATACCTATACTAGGTAAGGAAAGTATTGCAATCGGGTAAAATTTCCGATATGCGGTTTTCGACGGAACTATACGTTTCAGAGCCCACTGCGTCCGAAAAACACATTTTTAGCCATTGGTCTGTCAGTATGATCTACCTTAAGTCGGTTTACATTGGTTTAGTTTATCAAATAAATCTTACTCAAATCATTTGTTTGATCAATTTTCAGGAAAATAAATCTAGTTCAATTATTTTTTTGTTTCTTCATGGACATATGTAAAGATATACAAAACTTTTCTGAAATAGATAGGAAAAAGTCGTGTGAGTGGAACTAATAAATAATAAATTTTATAACATGATTCTAGATGTCACTTTTAAAGCAGAGATTACAAATATCTCTAAATTATAAGGTGAGGAATGTTGTTGCGAATATTTCACAGTGAGTGACGACGTGAGTGGCGCTGGCTGGCGGGCGGTCCTTAAGATCGGTCGAGTGGCCCGGCAACAGGGTTCTGCCTCTCTGCCTCTGTACTCGGGTGGACTCATGGGAAAAATAATTAGACAATGGCGTCCGCTACCTGCCACGTGCCGCTAACGAGCTTCCGACAACAAACAGGCCTGTCTGCGTTTGTTAACCGGCAATTAATTCCCTCTCTGTTGTCTATCCTCTTTGACGAATATGGTTCGTCTGAGGGCTGCCGATTGATCTTGTATATAGCAGGCAGCATCAAGCATCATATTATCATTACCATCAAGCAAGATGGTAATGATAATATGAGAAGGTGTTCATCGGGGGGTGCGGTCAAATTAATAATAAATAAAACAAGTAGAATTATTTAATTTTTGCCGACGTTTCGATACACTTTGCGGGTCTTCATCTGGGCTACAAAAGATACAAAACATGGTTAAATAAAATAAATGAATATAAACAGATATAAAATAAGAATAAGTTGTCAGATACAGAAATTAAAAGATGATATCAGAGATATAGCGGGTGACAATGAAGTTAAAATATCAAGTACTATATGTACAAGATACAAACAAAAATGGAAAATAAGTATGAATTAAAATAGGAAATAAAGAAGAATATAGCATGTAAGGTAAAAGTAAACAGATTGCGATAAAAGATAAGGAATGAGTGTATAACAAACTAATAGTGGAATTTTCTTTATTTGCTAACCTACATGTATCAAATGTAATCTCTATTAGTTTGTTCGATCGAAGACAGTTAAAACCTTTCGGGCGAGCTTGGATACGATCAATTACAACTATTCTCCGTTACGATTTTTTATTTCTCCTTCAGTTAATTATCAAATTCTTTTATATTTTATATTTAACTATCTTTTATATTAGACATTAATGTGAAATAGTCAATCGTTTCAAATAAAAAAAATTAAATATACTTTAGAGGAAACTAATATAGAAAATTAGCCATTTAAGCCCTGTTAGAGAAATTCAATCAGAATAATAGCTAAATTTTATTTAAAACTGCTTAATTTTACACTGATATAATGCATTTAAATCGTTAGAGCCGTATCATGTGTTTAGCACATGATATAAAGTGCCACTTCCGGTCAATAGATTATAACGAAAAATTTACCGTAACATCCCTAGCATATGAAAACCTTAAATATGCAATTTCACTTTCGTACGACTTTTTGTTTTGGAGCTAGATTGTTAACACACACACACACAGACCATTTTGCAGGACTTGGTTATTTGGACCTAGGGGATCTCAAAACGTATATTTCCGTTGAAAACTGAGATTAAAAAATTTTCACGATAGCAATACTTTCCTATACTATATATTCTTATATAGGTAAGTGAAAGTAAAAAATCTTAATTAATAAGATATAATCTTGTTAAATAAAATTCATATCATATAACCCAGAAGCCAGCAACTAATATGTCATCAAACTTAAAATCGATACAGCCGTTCGCTCAGATAACCAGTATGTAGAGTTTTACAAATTGAATAATCAAATTTTATTCAATAACGATTCAGTGTTTTTATCTCAAATATGAAGATGATCTAAAGTAGCACTTCCGGTTAGCCGATTCTAACGAAAAAGTTGCTGTAACATCACATCCATATAAAAACCTTAAATAGGCTGTTTCAGTTTCTTAGACTGCGTTTTTGAGCTAGACTGTTGACGCATTAGCCCATTCGGCCACCCCGCCCACCATTTTGCGGGACTTGGTTATTTGGACTTCGAGGGGACCTGAAAATATGTATTTCCATTGAAAACTGAGATTCGGAAATATTCATAATCGCAATAGTTTCCCTTATCTATGTATGTATGTAATATATGTGGGCGGGGTGGCTAACGTGTGTGCACAGCACCGCCGTTGCCTGGCAACCTGATATGTGATACAATGATAAAATATAGTCTTGTGTTCGCGTCCCGGGAAAATCCCGTATAGCCTTAAAGGCGTGGGAGGGGATTTTATTATTATCAATAATCAACCATTGTGATCGATCAAAAACTTAACCTCCTCTCAAAATTTGAGATTTCACGTTTCAGGATGCGTAGAATTCGAAAAACGATTACAATTTTTTTTGTCCGTCCGCCGTCCGCGCATTTTCTCCGAAACTACTGGACCGATTTTTTTCAAATTTGGACATAAAATCAGAGTTCACCCGAGGATGATCCTCCTTCGTCGACATTACTATCCGCCTTTTACTTTCAAAATGTCGGCCAGAAAACCTGCGTTGCTATAGATTGTAGATCCTAATCGAATGTACCGATTTCAATGAAATTTCGCGGAAGTCATTTTCTCGATCCCCTTTAAATTTATCTATATAACATACTTCAACGAAAAGAAGCTGGAAAAAAAGTTAAGAGGGATGGTGAAATTAAATTGCGAATAACTCAAAAAGTTTACTTAAAGAATTTTTAGTCGATATTGTATATGGTTTTCTAAAAGTTTACCAAATTTCCTAAAAAACATAAAAAATCGGACAACTACGAGCAAAGACCGTTTTTTTTTTCTTTTTCATAGATGTTTAATTCTAACCTTTTACATTACTGTAATGTATGATGATAAAATATGTATGGAATTTAGCCAGTAGCATGGACTATATTAGAGTAACAGAATGCTATACCTACCCAGAACGGTAAGGGTCGAAGGGCCTATCCTGTTCACAGTCAAGAGGTGAGAGAAAAACTCCATTGAGAGTGGACAGTTAGATATAATGTATGAGCTATCCGACATCTAACAGGCAGTCGGCAATTAGACAAGAGGGGCATGTGTACCAACAAAAGCCATTGTAACGGCTCTGACAGCTCTCTTGCCACCCCACTCATAGATCACCGATCCCTAACGACCCACTCGCTCCTCCATTGTGCATAGAGGTCCGTTTCCATTTGATGGTCATTAGTGTATTACTCAATACCGTATCATTTTACTTCCCATAGAGATATCCAATTGAAATACATATTCTAACTTTTCGGATCACAAGCAATGCCGAATTTCCCATGAAGGCAAAAGAGATTTAATTTGGAGATGGGTAATTATTCGACTGATCAATTATTACGATGAAACAACATTGTCAGAATTTTTATTAGGTTAGCCGGCGTTTCGACCCAGATATTTGAGTCGAAACGACGGCTAACCTAATAAAAACTCTTTACTGTAAATCCTGACAATGTTATTTCATCCAGATTTAATTTGCTCAATAAAATATTTAATTTTTAATTTTATAAGACGAGCTACATGACAGAGGCCTCAAGTGGCCTAGGGGCTTCCCCTATGCTACATATATATGGCATAAATTGTGTTTTAAAGATTACATCGATAGTTGAGTTGGCCCTGTATTTTTGAGCTTTAATAATGTAGAATGCCTCTTAGGTGCCATGATATACTTATTAGGTTTAAAACTTTTAACACTGATTTTCGTTTATTATTTTCAATTATTAACCATTTTAATAGAACGAAAAATTCAAATCTTAACCCCCTCTTAAAATTTGAGGTTTTACGTTTCAGGAAAAGTAGAATTCGAGAAACGAATAAAAATCTTTTGTCCGTCCACCGTTCGCGCATTTTCTCCGAAACTACTGGACCTATTTTTTTCAAATTTGGATTTAAAATCAGAGGCCACCCGAGGATGATCCTCTTTCATCGACATTACTCTCCGCCTTTAACTTTCAAAATGGTGGCTGAAAAACAAGCGTTGCTATAGACTGTAGCGGCTGAACGAATGTACTGATTTCAAAGAAACTTGGCTAAAGTCTTCTTCTTGATGCCCTTTAAATTTATCTATATAACATACTTCAACGAAAAGAAGCCGGGAAAAAAGTTACGAGGGACGGTAAAATTAGATTCCGAATAACTCAAAAAGTATACCTTTTTTTTATTGTATATAGTTTTTTAAAAGCTTACGAAATTTCCTTTAAAAAAATTCGGAAAATTATCCACAGGCGTATGCCTACTTTGAGTATACTTTTTTAAAAATCCTATGCCCTGACGTCCGGAATCTGCCATGAGTCCTGTTGCACATCAGTATGTGTCTGGTTTTGATGTTCGTAATTCGACTAATCAGGACTGGTGCACACGCGGTGAACTCGCTATTGCAGAGATTACTGTTACGGGATTCTGGACAAGTTCTTAATATCATCACTGAGCTCATTGTTGAGCACAAGAAATCCATCTAGCCATTCCAGAATTCATCTTCCGCACGTTCCTTTATTTATCGGCTTTTGGGGCCGATGTATCCGCTGGATGTAACATTATTATTGCTATTTCTCAATTCACTTAACATATTTCTATCCAAGTTTACTTTTTATTTATATTTATTTCTTCTTTAAAATTAAAAAATTCAGTAGGTAAATATTTCTTTCTTTATTTTTATTTTCTATAACCTTCCAAGAGTAATAACATTCCGCTAGGGTCGAGCAGGTCGTTCCTCAACTCAACATATTCCGCTGTCCATCGGAGTTATATTCGACGAATTGGCGGATTCTTTCGATTGAATTAGCACTGAGTTTACGAACTTGCTTTCTGCTAAATTTATTTCATGTACATATTTTTTCAATGCGTTATGGTCATCTTGAACTCCGTAATCGATTCACTATCTTGGTTTATCTATCAGGATGCGTTCGTCTTCCTTAAATAAAACGGCCCATTGTTTACGGAAACCAGCGCTTGTCTGCTTTGATCCCCTGATATCGCAGTTCATCAATCAAGGTATCATAGACATATCTAGAATCTAACTTCAGAATTGCGACCTTCAGCCAAAAATGACTATTTTTTGCCTCTTTGTTTCTTTTACTCCGTTGGTCATTCACTGAAGTTATTGTGGATCCGAGATATTTGAATTCTTCTACTCTCGGGGATGATTTTCTTTATTATCTTTATAGTTAAAAAACATATGTTTTTTCAATTTGTGTCTATTTTAAGTATAATAATTTAATTCAGATTGTATATGGGGTTTTATCTCCTTTACCTTTGCTTAGATTCAGCTAACAATTCAATCTCAAAGCTTACTATTGAAGTATTCAAATTAAATGTTTAAGGGCTCTTTTACAACCGTGGACATCTTGCCGAATACATTGTTAACGTTGCAAGCGGACGGGCACGTGGAGATCTAATATCACGGAACTGTGAGCAAATTCTGCATAGCTAATCGTGTTGATAGGCAGCCTGGGAGGCCGGTAGGAGCCCTGTAATCGCAGGTAGAGATCTGGACAATGGCCAGCGTCATGGATATCCCTACACCTGGAGTCTCATAGCTTCAGCATACTTGAGTAGCTTTACAAACTTGATTTCTACAGTTACGCAAGTGTTCAAAAGAATAAAGAGTCTTGGGATTATTAACATCAACGTTTTCTTTTTTAATTTATTGTATAATAATACAATCTGCCATTCCCATCAACTTAAGATTATGAATTAAAATGTGTTTATTAAACTTTTTTTTAAAAAATACACAAAGTAAAATAAATATATACAAGCTACAACACATAGACAATGAAAAATTCCGTCTGTCGAGGTCTGTGTGTAATTAATAATAAATATTCATCACATTTATAACTAAAATAAATATATCAGCAATAATATATCTAAAGTATTATTATGGTTTTATACATCCATTCTAGCAATTTTCTTTTTCACTGTCTCATTTGTTTAAATAGAGTTTTCAAAAAAACAAACATTAGCACATCACAATTCCAATAAATAAGAAATTTAAATTCAACAATAATAATAATCATCAAATACAATATAACAATAAAACAAACGTTACAATAAATAAACACGATATTGTATCAATAGTTTACTATCTGACCAATTGGGATCTTTGCAATGTTGCCTGCTGTACATAATTGCTTAAGGCTTTCCAATTAGAACCCTTTAAGAAACCAAATAATTCTTCCGGAGAACAGCTCCGCTGCCCAAAACATTTCTCTCTTATCTCACTGTACATGTGACAAGTCCCGAAAAAGTGAATGGTATCCTCTTTTTCTTGAGAGTTACATACCGGACAGCAATCGTTGTCCCCCACCATCCATGGATTTAAGGCTTAAATCGAGCAACTCTGTCCTAGATCGAAAAATTGACCCTATAGTCACAATATCGAAACTATCATTAAGATTGGGTGTAACAGTGCCCACTGAACATAGCCCTGCGTAAACAGAAAAACTTGAATGAGAAAAACTTTAAGTCCTCTACATTATGTCTAACAACAGTCAATTTTCCGCGCAGATCAGCGATATTTGCAATATCAAGATTAGTTTTACAACTATCCTCAAATTCTAACCACTTTCGGTACCAATAAACCATCTTAGTTTATATCAACTCTTTCGCTAGGATATGTGGTAAACGAAAACTCGGCATCTCCAGCACTTTCAAAATATAGTCGAAATGAATTTTAAGTGTGTAGGAGTATATCGAGGCGAGATCGGTTTCGTGTGCCAAATATAATTAGGTAACTTAAGAATATATTTAGTCTCTGAAACCTATTTGGGATGAAGAATTTGAAATATGTGAAACGGAAAAGTAATACTATTTTCTTCCACAGACTTTTGTTTCAAATTTATGAAATTTTTTCAAGACATTTCGAATAATCTTGATTTTGTGGTCAAACAATCAACAATCAAAAAGTTGTTATCCGTTTTCTCTCCCACTCCTACCTATAACCCGTATACGTCGAGCTAAAGTGGTTCTATATTACAGGTGTTAGTATTTTCTCAAGTCCTTCCTGTAAAAAGTATCAGAACTCAAAGTTCCTCCTACATTCTACAGAGCCTGAGATTTAAATCTTCCGTTTAATACCGTCACATCGTTTCCGTCCATCTGACTTCTATCCTCTACCGAACTGCCGCTGTTGATAGTTCTTTACTTAAACTGCCTCCACTTGGAACTCTATCGCACCTAACTTACATCATACATCACCGATTTCCGCGTTCAAATCCCTCCTTTTCCTCGTCCTCCTTTGTTTATATTATTTTATTTTAAAGTAAATATCTCTTATTACTTCTTTTATTTTCCAGGTATTTATTTTTTAATGCAAATTAAAATTTTCCTAAAAGAAATTTGTTCCAGAATAATAAAGATTTTTTTTTAAATTTTCCATATCTGTCGGAGGATTGTGGGCAATTTTAGGAGCTATTGATCATTTTTGTGCACCTACCTAATGATAAAGATTCGATATAACGGACCACCCTCTTCTGTATCCCAGAAGCTGGTACTCATTAATGTTTTCCGTTAGAGAAATTATTATAAACCGGAGCCGCTAAGATAGATAATATTCGTTTAAACTGTACCTTTTACTGTCACTTACCTATGTATGTTGTATATATAAGTGTTCCGATCATAAACATTTTCGATTTTTTTTAGTTTTATCGTAATTCCATGTTTTAAGGTCTCCTGAGTCCAATTAACTAAGCCCCATAAAATAATGTGTGTGAAAAAAAAAGTCGCTCGAAAATGAAATTCCATATTTAAGATATGTGCCAAAGATGTTACAGCAACTTTTTTCAGTATGTTTCGCCACTGGGACTCAATAACAAAATGGTGTTTAAAAAAGGAAAAAATAATATAATGTAACAGCTTGCTCTGAAACACTCGAGCCATTGCCTTTTACGTGGCTCGACCTATTTTCTACAAAAGAACAATCAATACGTGGTTTCCACCATGCAGGGCTGACCACAGATTGCCTCCTTGCGGTCGACGTATTCCTTTCTCGATTGTTCTTAGCTGGTCCCTTTCACTTCGCATTGTTGGATCCACATATATAATCTTATATATTGTTATTTTCTAATGTTCAATAGCGTTGATCTATTTTCACTTTAATTTAACTTAATATGAAATATAAAGTAAAGAAACGTATTGCGATCGTGAAAATTTTCGAATCTCTGTTTTCAACGGAAATACACGTTTTTAGGTCCTCTGGGTACAAATAACCAAGTCCCGCAAAATGGTCTGTGTGTGTGTGTGTTAACAGTCTAGCTCAAAAACGAAAAGTCGTACGAAAGTGAAATTACGTATTTGAGGTTTTTATAAGCCTAGGATGTTATAAAACCTTTTTCGTCAAAATTGGCTAACCGGAAATGGCACTTTATATCACCGATTTAACAAATTTTTATGATTTTTCTCGAAAACGGCTCTAACGATTTGATTAAATTCATTATATGAGTATAAAATTATGCAGTTTTTGTTGTAATGTAGGTTTTATTCTCATTGATGTTTCCTAACAGGGGTTAAACGGCTAATTTTCAATATTGGCTTCCCCTTAGTACTATTAATTTATTTTATTTGAAACAATTAACCATTTCACATTGATCTCTAATATAAAAAATAGTAAAATATGCAATATGAAAGAATTTAATAATCAAACAAAGAGGAAATAATATATCGTAACGGAGAATAGTTGTAATGGAGGAACCAACCTCAACCGAAAGATTAGAACAGGTTTCCATATGTACCATGAGGTTAATATAATATGGACTCCAACACCATTGCGTACATATGCATTTTACATAAATGATATCGTTGGTATTATTTAATATTTAATTGTATACAATATAGTGATGTAAATACAAATAAATATAGCGTCTATAATTTTATTTTCACATCCTCTTTGTCTGAAAATACTTATTTCTAATAAAAAGGGGATGAAACTTTTGTGATGCGCGAACCGCACCAGATTTTTTTAACTAAAAAATTGTTGGCTCATTCATCATTTGTTCGTTTTATACTCAAAATCTGACATAGTATACAAATCTATGTAATCTTTTCTAACCTTTTTCAGTTGATATTTACATTAGTATTTATATTTCGGAAATCTAACTAACAAAAAAAATATACCATGGATGTTATCTTCACCTTCTGATAAGGATACAATGACCTAAACTACGTAACTTTTCGTTTGTTGGGTCAGTCCCAAAATCCTCGTTTACACGATGATACTTTTCTATCTTGATAGTATTGTTATGATTGTGAAACAACGAATGTCCTTATCTTTACTCTGACAGCTAACTTATCAGCCAGAAGATGTAGAATTGGGTACTGTAGAATGTACGGTTATTATAGAATCGGTTATTTTTAACAAAAGTTACAACTCCTTGATGATCCTTTCAACATTTATTTTTTCTTGATAGAACCGATTGTGGAAAAGTTGGATTGAATCAATTTCATGTAGAAACACATCCGTTGAAAACTCTGCCATCAGGTGAACTGTTGATTGAATATTTCATAACTAAAAGGACAGTTTGTGTGTTCTCTCTAACTGCATCCTCCAACAAAAATAAAAACCTGAGATTAATTTATTGTAAATTTGATTAAGAAAAATAATTTAAATACGTCATCATCATTATTATCACAACCATGTTCCTCTTTACCGCTTTATGAGCGTGAGGTTGCTTCTTGCAGAGCTTGGACCAGGTGGACCTTTCCAGTACCAGCTCTCGTCTCCTGTTCCATTCCAAATCTCGCTTCTCGAATGCATCTCGCACGCCTTCTTCCCAGGAGATTCTGGGTCTTCCTCTCAGTCTCCTACCCTGCACTCGAATCTCATACGTCTTTCTTGCGACTCTGTTCCGATCCATATGGAGAAGGTGTCCAAACCATCTCAACTTATGTTCTTCTATTATGGTATTGACCGCTTTGGCGTCGAGATTGGCCCGGATTGTAGTATTGCAAATTCTGTCTCGCCTAGTTCTTTCCTCCACCTTTCGGAGGTATCGCATCTCTAGAGCCTGGATCTGGCTCCTGTGTTTCGAAGTAAGTGTCCAGGACTCGGAAGAATACGTCAGTATAGGAAGGAATACTGATCTGTAGGCCGTCATCTTCGTTTCCTTGGCCACCTCTTTTCGGTTCAGAAAGCCTTTCCTAACCGAGCCGAACATTCTTCCAGCAGCTCCTATTCTCTGTCTCAGCTCCTCGTCAATATATCCATTTTCGTTGAGTTGAGCACCCAAGTATTTGAAACTTTCTACCTGCTCCAAAATCTCTCACCGTCGACCCTCAATTTAACCTTGTGAGGTTTTCTTCCAATGCGCATGCCTTCTCTGGGTTAATTTCCATATTGATTTCTCTTAAATCATCCTTTAGGATATTAATGTTATATCTTATTGAGTGATAACATACACGGCCAATATCATTGAAGCGATATTCTTTAATGTAGTTTAAATATTACAAATTTCAATATAATTGTTACAATGTATCCTCCAGACGGTCAATATTGAATAATCGAATAGTATTATTCGATATTTAATCAACAATATTGACCGTGTAAGAGCCCTTGAACAACAATTAAGGTTCTATTATGAGAAAAAAATAGATAAATTCTAAGTATCCTTTTCCCACCTCTATGAGTAGTTTACAACTTTCTAGTTAAAAATATTTTTTAAAAAAGAATATAGAAATAATATGGTGGAGTATTAATAAAAAAGATTAACTGGTCCTTGCGAATGTTTATCATCTACATATGTTTATTCATCTTTCAAGAATAACCTTAAAACAAATATTATCAATATTTCAAGTTATAAATAATTAAAACAGGCGGTGGAGTAGGGAGGTGAGGTGCGACAATTTACTGTCGAATAACGTGACAGATTCTGTCGAATTCCGTGTTAAGCTTGTGTGCCAGCGACAATTGCCATGTGCTTTGTCGTATTTGCATTTCTATCGTTATTCGCAATTTCTTAGATAAAAGCTAAAATTTCATTTGACGAACGCCCCGGACTGTTCCCGACAGATGGCCGGCAATGAGATGATGGAAGCGGAGGAATAATTAGGATAATAGAGGAAAGACTAATAAAAGGAGCAGATGGAGGATAAAACAATGGTGCTAAGGCAGCCACCTACTGCTGCCACCCACATGTCCGCCTTTGTTGTTTGTCGTTCGCTGCCAATCTCGTTCCTTCTAATTGATTCCTAATTTACAGATTTTTTTTTTTTGCAAGGGCTTCTATGTTCACAAAACATAAGGCTCTGTCTAGTCTTCTGCTTCTATCCAATATCACAAAGGAAATTAAATACTTTGTCTTAAGAGTATAATCTTAGAAAAACCTAGCAATATATTTATGTTTTCGATATCTAGGAGGCATATGATAACTTGTAATTTCCATTTTTTTTTTTTTTGTCCTCTTCCTTGCCTTCAAGTCTATACAGTTTTTTGTTGCATTTTCTCAATAAAGGCAGAGTCTAAATTCTCCCCTCCTCGGCACCGGTATGCGAACTTTTGTATGATCAACGTAAGTGGAGGGATGAGGAGGAGGAGGAAACAGGTTTCGGGCCAAAGAAAATAAAAATAATTTTTTCATTGGTCCATATTTGTTTATGTGAGTAATCTTAGCTGAATAAGTAAACAATTATAATATTCAGTTTTTTTAATATTATAATTTATATACGTCGGTCTACTGAATGTAAACAAATGTCAAGAAAAATTATAAAACAATTATTTCTAAAAGTATTTTTGACATTGAAGTAACAGACCTTCAACAACCAATCAAACACCGTTTCATATTAGTAGTTTTTTTTCTTCCAGAATAATTAGCGTTATTAAAAAAATAATAAAAAATCCATAAAAAAAAAAAAAAATTGTATTCATGAAATTTACAACTGTATAAATTAAATATACATCTAGTAAATGTGTAGAATTGTAGAGAATCTATACATTGGTAACATTCTATAAAAAAAAATATATATATTAAAATTAAATCCTGAATCCGCTACTGATGATATATTTCCTTCCAAATAAGCCAGTAGCAGTAGCAACTAATAGATGTTGAGAAATACCTCTTTGGTTCTGTTGTATAGCCCCTTAGCCTTCACATATTATATATAAAAATTAAAAAAAAGATATTTACAACTAGCCAAATGAAGTGAGCTCATAGCTCATTCCTTTCATTTAACACACATTCCTAAAGCCAACAGTGTTATGAGAGATGACGAAATATCATCATTTTCTAACATTATTGACATGATAATTTTATTGATTTAATTCAGGTAAAATACTTCTTCTTCTTCTTTGTTCTTCTTCGAGGAGCCTCTATCCAATGCAGCCATGCCTCTCGGTCCCTCATTTCCTTTTGAGCTTTGCCTCTCTTCTCTCCAATCCGCTGCATATACTCCTGATAGGAAATTCTGGTGGGTCAAGCTTCCAGAGCCTTTCGCGGATCTCTCTCCTCCTCTATCCGACAAACGTGGCCAAATCAATTCAACTGTCGGTTTTCCAGTAATGTCCTTAGCTCCGCCACCTCCAGATCCTCTCTTATGCGTTCATTCCTGACGCGGTTCCTCCTGGTCTTTCCAGCAGTTCTCCTAAGGAACTTCATCTCGGCTGTTGCTATACGACTAACTGGCTTGTCCAGCATAATCCAACTTTCGCTTACATACGTGAGGGTTGGGAGGTATGCCGACTTACATATGTGCCTTTTTGTTTCCTAGCCAACTTCCCTGTGCCCAACTAAGCTGTTTCAGATAGCGAAATGGACCTGCTTGGTTTTGGATATCCTATTCGCTACTTCTGGGTCAATCTTCCCCGTGTTGCTGATAATTGTTCCCAAATAGGTGAATTCTTGCACAGTTTCAAGTACCTCCTCATTACAGATCAGCTGGACGTCTTCTTGTTCATCTAAGGTAAAATTCAATTATCAAAAATAGTAGGTAATGAAATTCTCGTTAAATTATTATAATGATGGCGATGGTGAAAACAAAAAGTCTATGTTGTTGGATTTGGATTTTTTTAACGAGAATAACAAACAACACTTAAAATTTAATTTCAAAGTGAGGTTACTCCCCTGGCGCACCTACCGGAAAAAGTAGGTATGATTACTAAAATTCTGACTTAAAAAAAACTTTTTAGTTTTTTATTTCACCACTGTCAATGTTCACTGAGAAGCGGTGAATTTCATTACATTAAACAAATAAAGTAAAAGAAAAGGCATGAAGAAAAGAATTACTCTGTGGCTCGATCTCTTTTTCAACTTGCTTTAGAAACTAAACCAAGTGAAAAGGTCTATAAAGTCTTTGGTGATCTCTCTTGTTGGTTGGAAAATAAAAGTATTTAAAGGAAATACAAATTTGACCCTGTTAAATGGTCTTAAGACAGGAACTTTTAGAAGTAACAAAAATGGTGAAGGTTTTTTTCTTTCTTATAAGACTTGTTTGAATAGCTTTCACATAAAGAAACTATTTCACTTTGAATATTTCTTCATTGTTTGTCCAGTGGATATGAGAAACTTATTACTTTAGTATTGTCTATTTATGAAAAATAACATATTTTGTAGAGCTTGTGGAGGGTTGTGTAAAAGCGGAACTATTTAAATAGCTGGAACGGAATAAATCAAGCCTTTCAACCTTCAGGTATAGAGGCTAGAGGCATTCAGTTCAGAAAGGCCTGGGACGAAGACTAAGCGACGCCATATCTCACTGCCTGGAACTGATTGAGCTGTCGCCGTGTTGCCCAGTTTTAACATTTGTTATCCTCTTGTCAGCGCTTCGTCCTTCCCAAACGACAGGCAACAAAACAACGGCAGATGCCACCCCGCCCCCCGCGGCCTCCTTGATCTGATTATTTCATATGTAGCCGTTGTCTCCTTTCTCACCTCGATAAAACCCTTGCGATCAATTCGGCAGCGGGAGGCCACTGCCTTTATGATTTGTCCTTTTGTACGTCACTGGCTGTCAATCAAGAGCATTTAGCAGAGGTGCCCCCCGCCGCTAGGCCTCCCGCCCCGCCCCCTCCCGCGAGGTCTTCTGGCCAGTTAGTGTCCGTCCGGTGGGCGTTCGTGATTGGCGTAGTGTCACCTAGGCTTGACCCTTCTGCCTAATCAGCTCTTTCATTGGGCAGATCTTTATTGGCTATTATCAAATAAAAAGAACAAACATTTTGGGCGATGAGGGATAAAAATACAATAATCAATTCACTGCCAGGTGTATATATTAAATTTTCCGAACCGATTCAATATCCTTCAATTTGATCACAAATCGTTCTATTTACTTTTTTTTTTACACTAGATTAAATATGTTAAAAAAGCACTCAAGTATATTACATTTTTAAATTGTTATTCAAAAGTTTGCGACAGTGAGATGGACTCTCAATTCCCTTCAAATTTGCTGGCGGGTGAAATGAGATCAAATCTTCGTGTAAATATGGAAGGGTTCATCGGAATGAATTATAAAACCCTGGGATGTGTCCCTACCTATCTCGCACCACTACCCAGGAGTGTGCCTTGGCCTCCTCTTGGAGCTTCGCCATTCAGCTCGATCCATGGCTACTGCCTTCCAGTTCTGTGTTCCTAGTAGAATTCTGGAGTCTGCCGTCTCCCTATCTATCCATCTTAGCTAGTGTTAGCCAAATGCGAGACCGAGACGAGTCTTTGTCTTGTAAACTCGGTCCTGGTCATGGTCTTGGTCTTGCGCAAGAAAAAAAAATATATATATACACACACACACATATAGAGGACTGTCTAGAGTATAAGTAAAAAATAAAATACTTTTTAAATAGATTTCAAAGAAATACAATCTTATGAATAGGAAAAGTAGAAATTAAACAAAAAAAGTATTCACCTACTCAATGCTTACTGAAAGGTGATGGAAATTCTGTTTTATACTCAAAAGAGAAGGGAAAAAAAATGTATAAAGAAAATTAAAAGCCAAATTCTGCTGTAGTGTGGCATGTATGGCTGTCAAACATGATACTTTTAAACCTTCCTCAGTTCTGCTTTATAAATATCCATGTAAATAATCGATAACAGATTAAACTAACTAATTTAGGTATAAAGTTGAAAACTTTTCTCTTCCTTATATGTTAACGTATTTATCTGTCCAACATTTCGGACTCTTTATCCATCTTCAGAGACATTTCTTTTCACTGTTAGAACATCATGATGTTGGTAATATTAGTCGTAGTTAAATTGTCTTGAAGATGAAATAGTGTCTAAATTTGAGAATCACGGAGTTGTAAAAGTTAAAAGTAGAGATGGGCGAAATTGTAGTACAAATTACAGAGTAGTTTACTCAAATACTCGCCCGGTTCCAGTATCGAGTACTTTAATCACTATTCGACCTCATGATTTACGAGTACAAAAAGTAATCAGCTGTCCTCGTGAGTACTTTTAAAAGTAATTGTTCAAAGTAATTAATATAGTTGTAGTCTCGCTTGTAGTTGTATTTTAGCTTATAGTTGTAGTAGTTACTTATTAGCTTATTAACATAGAGGTATTACTGTAATTTTTTAGATAGGAGAAAACTAACTAAGCCTGAATGAAAAATTAGAGGAGTTGAATGCAAAAGTATATTGGTTATACCAATTATTAACATATAGTAACTAAGATTGTCGATTATTAGTAACTGTTTTACCTTGAGTGTTATTTAAAAAATCGGTCTTGCAACAGTTAGGCGTCCTTGGCCTTGGTCTTGGTCTTGCAAAATGCATACTTCTAGTATGATTAATATTGTTGTTCTTAAAATATTGTATAATATATTGTCCTACGAATAATAAAAGTAGATGACTAATCCGCACTACGTACCATTCTACTTGAAATAAGAGAAAAGTTAATAACAGTGATGACTATGGCATTGGATAAGGCTGAGCCTGGTCAATAGAGAGCGCTGTAAGAGTTGTGTAAATACTGGGATTGTTGTATTGAACATCTGTAGCAGTTAAAGAAGCCATCAAGAAGAGAGGCCTTTGTGATAGTTGTCTCCTGCCGACCAGCTGACTTGAAGACTCCCCAATCGAATCAAGGCACACTCGGGAGCCCCCCCACGGCGAACCCTTCCTCTGTGTACCCGACCTCCTCTATTAGATATTTTACAGTTGGATACCTCACTGTAACTCTTTCATTGTGCCCTTTCCACTCTCACCTGTTCCCTGCTGCAATAGCGAACGTTACGTTCACGCTTTGACGTGACAGCAGTGTACGTTCCTCCGACCGGGGCCTCCTAAATTGGTCATGTTAAAAAATTCAGTCATGCGATCTGAATGAATCAACCCTATTCGTCATCATTACCATGTTTTTTCCTCCCGATTACACCCATTATCACATTAGATATTGGATAATATCTGTGAAGTATGTCGTAAAAACGTTATATTGTAAAAAATTGTTTTATTTTGTCTGTTTTTTAATGTTGATTATTATAATTACATCTTACTACCGAAGGCTGGGTAGCTTAGTATTCGTACTGAAAGTTAAATAATTTTTTGCCCTTACTAGTAAATTTAAAATAATGTTTTTACGATTTAGACAATATTGAGTGGTTGTAGCGCCCTTACTCAATCTCCGCTGGCTTTTAATACTAGTGAAGGCTTTTGATACTAGGGATCTCCTGAAGCCTCGCTTTCCCTCCACATGTTTTTTTTCTAAGATAATTTTAATTTTATTTTATTCATTTATTTTTATTCTATTATTACTATTATTTATATTATCTTACTTTACTATGATATTTTATTTTGTTCTTATTTAGCTTTATATTATTTTGAAATTACGTTATTTATTTATTTATTTATTAAATTGGAAATATCGTGTGAATGTGCTCTTAGAACTCTATTATAAATGTCCTTTATTGAGACAGATTGTAATATTTATCAATAAACAAATAAACCAGTAATTTCAGACAATATTGAATAAATTTGGGTCCGTGTCTTATCTATGTTTTGTTCCTATTAATCCGCGGCACAGACAGATTTTTATCGAATTATTAAAAACCGTCTAAAACATCGCGAATAACTAATCTGAACTAAATTATATTTTCTCACAAATTTGCAATATATTGACTTAATATCTACTTACTCTATACTTTTTTCTCTCTTTTCTTTTTCTTCTCGATAGTAATTTATATAATGTAGTAATTTTTTTTATTATTATTTTTAAAACATATTTAATTTTATAATAGTAGTTTTATGATTGAAAAATAAATCAACCAGTACAATTTGAGGGCAATGATAACCATCAGCATTTTTTTGCCCCTAAACCCAAAACAACAACAACAAACATCGCGAATGGTTTATCTTATAATAATCTATAACTTTTTTATTTACAAACATTATTTATAGAGGTTGTAAAAACTCATAAACTTCCATTTTGTCTTTTCACTTGAATCGTATGATAATTAGACCAAAAATCAAGAAAAAAAGGTGGTGTTAAAAAATATTGGGCCGTTTGGCATAACCTCCATTCTCAACTTATCAAAATAACGACGTTACATAGACCAAATTACACAATATTTTTGTAGGTCACTTTTTTTTTTAGATTGTGTGATCAAATTATCTTACGCTTCTCGTAGTAAACAAGTGTGAGTATTCATGGTTTTTTAGTATCTCATTAAATTAATCAATTTAATGAGAAAATGCTCCATTTTAGAGAATTTTCGTATTGAATAATTCTGTAGGTTAAGATAAAATGGAGTTATTCACGAAATTTTAGATGAATGTTAATAATTTTATAAAAGTAATGAGCTATATGAATGATCTGAGCCAGTACTGAAGCAATTACAATACTCTCTTTTTATTTTAAATACAAACTCTCTTTTTTATCATTCTCATAACTTATTACAAAAATAACTTTGTTAAAAAATAATTTACAATTTTTTAAGAAAGCTAGTCGACTGTTCTAACATATCACGGGTGATAAATATTCAGGACGCAGTCATTATAATTTTTTTTTATTGGTGCTGACGTTTCAACCCAAACATCAGTACGTGGTTCGAGCACTGAAGTTGTATACTTGAAAACATTCAGTGCTCGTACCACGCCCTGATGATGACCCATATGTTTGGGTTAAACGTCGGCACAAATAAAAAAATTTTATAATGACTGCGCCCTGAATATTTATCACCCATAACTTCCAATTTTGTGGCGGAAAAAAAAAGAAAGTATGTAGAAATTGTGAAAGAATTAAAAGAAGTGCATGATTTAAAGGAAAGCCGAATTCTACAGTTGATAATTTCATGTAATGGGTTAATATCAGAAGGACCTCAATCTTTTTTGCGCAAGCTGGAATTTGCCATTTGTGACAATATGGCAATATTATTGGTAACGGCATGTATTGTTCGGAAATATAAATCGGTTAAAAATATAATAAAATCTTGAAAATATATTAATTTAATATTTGGTTGACCAACTGTTACAAACAGCCATGTAATGTTTGAAATAAAATAAATTGAATAATAATAATAAATGAAGCCAATCTTTTCAGTTCTCATTTATCTCATGGGAAAAAAAATTCCTGTCTAGATATCCTGCGGTTTCCGTTGGTGATACCATATGACGGCATATTTCATGGCAGGAAGTTATGACGAAAATAAAATATAAGTAAAATTAGCTGTGATTCTAACTTTTTGGATGTATGAATAGATATTTTCACTATGGAACATATTTTAAAAAAATATTATATAGCTAAAGATACATTCGTAGAGTCAAAATAATATCTTTTTTATTAACACTGCGTAATTTTTACACCGAACAACTGCTAAACGTTATTAATCTTTTCAAGGCATTAGATATTTATAGGGTAAATCCAGAAACTCCGTTTAATTCTCTTTGCATGTTTCGATCAACCTTTGGACTTTTATGTATCGTTTTCGAGCGTTTTCTTCAGGGATTTATCATTCCAACCTAACCCCATGAATCGTGTGAGTATTATGGTTCTATGTGTATATTCGTACGTTTATATACAAATTGAGAAAAAATAAAATAAGAAGAAAAGATGAAATAATAATTAAAGTTGTCTCGACTTCCAAACGAATGCCTTGGGGAAGACCCATATATTTTGTCGAAATGTCGGCTGACCTAATAAAAATATCTTGACTAAAATTTCTGAAATTTTCG